GGCACGACACTAACGACGCGCGCCACGAGCATCACGGCAGCATGCCACCACATAAGGGATCATCTTGTCAAGACCAGCAATGCCTACCTGTCGGGTGTGTCCATGCGCCCACAACACTCGAGATAGCTACATGTAGTCTCAGACAAAAGCTCAATTGCATTGGATTGGGTGGGATTAAAGCTCCTTACTCGACACGACAAAAAATCAAACATGATACACTAGGAGGCCGACACCACGGAGGATCGACACAGAGTTCCAAACCACACCTCAACCAGGCTTCCGACGAGGATACACATATTCCACCGAGCGAAGCTGGCGGTACGTCTTCTGCGCCGACGTGGCGCTCGCTCCAGCCGTGGCCCGAGCAGACGCACTCGCACTGGCGCTGGCCGTAGCACTCGCTGATGCACCACCCGTCGCGGTGGCACCATTTCCGTTCGACACGGACGCCGTGTTCGACGTGCCGTCTCCGTTCGTGACGGAGACCGTCTTGGTCGAGTAGGGGCTGTTGCCGCCGTTCGCATTGGCGTTCGCGTTCGCAGTAGACGCGCCATTGGCGCCACTAGTCGTAGCCGTCGTAGCAGGGGCGCTGTTCACAACAGTAGCCGGAGCGTTGTTGTAGGCGGGGGCGCCGTTGACAATAGGCGGCGGAGCGTTGTAGACACCGGTCGGCGGGACGCCGTTCGCAGGATAGCCCGCAGGATAGGCAAGCCCACACCGACGTGCGCTCCGAGGCCCAGCACGTTGGCACCGACACCAACACCGCCGTTGCCCACACCGACGCCGACACTCGCGAGGCCAGGCACACCGACACTGAGCGCGGGGCCGGCGCCGTATCCGTAGCCGGGTGCGCCATAGCCGACGCCGGGGAGTCCGAGCAAACCCAAGGTCTGGTCCGCCTCTGTCTCGGCGTGGGCACCGGTCGACACGGCGGTGGCGGCAATGCACAGAGCGAAGATCTTGCTGCTGGTGCTGAGGCTGAACATGGCTGTTTGGGTTGAGTAAGTAGAAGTAGTAGGAGAGACTTGGTCCGATAGAACGTTTGGGAGAGCGCTGGCTCTGGCGGAGATCGAGCGGGTTGCTTCGATGGGAGGGAGTAGATTGGAGAATGAACTGAGCGAGTCGGTCTGTCACTCAGCTAGTCATGAGGCTACCGGAGGCAAGGCTAGCTTTGGCCAGCTGGCAAGAAAGCAAGCGCCGACCAGCTGGCTGCCAAGTGACACGGACGCCAACGCCGGCCATCCGTCGGGTCGGTCGGTCGCCCTGCTGCGCCTGGGCTCGCGATTACCAGGATGGATATGATCCTGTGGGCCGGTGCATGCAGTCACCAGGGTCGCGACCGTCATACAGATGCTGCGCTGGATCGAACGGACTGGTGTTGGCTGGTTGGTTAGACGTGGATATCTACTGCGTAGTGTGCACATTTGAGGGAGAGGTGTGTAGGTTTGCAAGGATCCGGAAGGGCAGGTGGTGTAGACGCTTGACCGTCATTGACATGAAGGACGACCCTTGGCCACAGTCACGACTCATGACCCCATCCGGAGCAGTTGATGTCCATGTTGGTTCCTACGAGGAGCGTGCGTAACTATACAGATTTGTGGTGCAAAATATACAACTCTGGGGAGCAACCATATTGTGGGGGATGAAATATATAACCCTGTCTAGAGTATAATAAGATGGTTCGAAGTATAACGGCCGGCCGGCGGATTTACCCCGGCCTCTTAGCCGGACGGCAAAATTGCGGGGCGGCTGAATTGACTCGGCTTCTTATCCGAGTGACTGGATTGCTAGGACACCGCAGCGATCGGTTGTGCATACACAACTAACTCAAACGCTTATACTGCAAACTCACTGGCTTCTACTTTCTTGTTGTTGCGAGGATGTCTACGTGGATACAGCTCTCTCTTCTTGACAGCGCGGATGACTATGATAGCTACCGTGACCAGCTCATGTGTTGTACCGCCGTTTTTCACAAAGTGGACTTCGATTTCTGCCGCATCTGTGGCGGAAAGCACACGATGATAGAGCGTCGACTGAAGTGCTCAAGCAAAACCTGTATAAGGTTTGGCAAGTGTGGAATTGTGTGGAAGGTATTCCAGTGCAAGGGGCAAGATAAGTGGCGTGTACTTGTGAACTTGAACGGCCACGCGAGAGGAGTGCTCACGTGCAGCGAACAACACACTCCCCTCGTCACTCGCCCTATGAAAGCGTTTATCGCTACCCAAGATGAGGTTGGACTGTCACCCCGGGTTATCGAGGTCCATCTGAAGAAACAGGTCAACATCCGACCGTCGCGGGGAGGGTGGCCTACGCTTTCTCAGGTTCAGAACGCCCTAAAACGTATCCGAAAAGAACAAGGGCCCAAGAACTCTATCCAAGCAATTCACAGACTGGCCCGATCGCGCTGCTACAAACCCGAGAACCCACCAGAAACGGCATTTGTGTTTGGTGCAAAACTGAACGTCGATGGCATGACTTACGTTGGCTCGGGAGATGACAATGACCCGTTTATTGTCGGCGTGACTTCACTAGCAATATTCGACAGTTGTATTCGCTTCAGTACGGGTGATGCTCGTGTCCTGTTCCATGCTGACGCAACCTTTAAGCTGAGTGATATTGGGTACCCCGTGATAACCTGCGGGTTCACCGACCAAGCCAGGAGATACCAAGTCGGAGCTTTCTTCGTGGTGAGTCGCCGCGCCGAGCATGAGTACACGGAGTGCTTCAGGGCTTTTGTGGAGTTAGTGCGCAGTCTTCGAGGGATTTCTATTCGCTGTGATTTTACAATGAGCGATGCGGAGGATTCTCAGTTTCTCGCACTACAAAATGTACCAACCTTCCAGCACGCCACGAAGTTGATGTGTTTTTTTCATGTCCTGTACAATGTACGGAAACGTACACAGCACCTGCCGCTTGATGATCGGAAGAAGTTGATGATTGCGATCATGGATATGCACTTTTCGCGCAGCCTAACGGAGTACGAGTACTGTCGGGATGTCAGCCTTGCTGAGTGGAAAGAAACCACGCATCTGACGGAGTTCGCAGAGTATTTTGATCAGCAGTGGCTGAAAGGGAGATACTGGAGGTGGCAGGTCTTTCATACTCCGGAGGGGTATGCCACCACCACCAACCCGTGCGAAAATCTCAACGGAGGTCTAAAACACTTTCTTCAGCGGCGTCGCTACGACATGCGTAGACTGCTATTAAAAATTTGTGATTTTGTTGAGTCCATCACTCCTCTACACCCGGTTCCGGCAGACTTCATTCCTCAGCCTACAACGGACTTGTCGAAGGCAGCAGCGGCTTTCTGGAAACATCTCGGCTATTAATCAACGCGACACGAGACGAAAAACGCGTTAGGGTGTTGGAATTCGGGGTAGCTGATGTCACTGAAAGCGGTGATACAGAGGATCAAGTGTTCTTGGCAGTGTTTGATGAATCAGCTGGTGACTGTAGTTCTTCGCGTATTTCTACTTCAGAAAATGTTGAGACTCCAGGGAGCAGACTCTCACTGTTTCTCAGCTTGACGTCTGGTCAGCACGACCGAATGGATCGTGGTTCGGATTCCGAGTCTACCGCGTCTGATGCTAGCGCAACAAGAGATACATTGTGTGACCACTCTGATGAACTATGTGAAGAAGCGGAAGAAGAAGAGCGTGAGAAAGCAACGGATCTCTACATTAAGGTCACAAATTGGTCTTTACGTCGTGCCCATCGTACGAAGATGCCGCACATCGGGTGGTTGGTGGATCTAGATCGCCAACGATGCGAATGCGCGTACTTCAACAAAATGCGGATGTGTGCTCATGTCGTAGCTGCTCTCAGAAAGCTTCACATTACGTCAACCGCTCGAGACCCGTTGCAACAGCTGAAGAACCGAATTGCAGAATCAAAAAAGAAGAAAAGGGGAAGCTCGAAACAGAAGAAGGTGGTTGCCAAGAAGAAGAGGTCAAGCACGCAGAAACAGCCAAGGTAGAAGGCGTCAAAACAACATCAAGTCTCGGGTACATCGAAGAAACGCGGACGGCCGGCGAATGCAGCTTCCGCTATGACGGTGCAAGATGTACTTATCGAATAAGCCTTGCACCATCGTTTTTTCCAGAATCCACCTTGCTAATTAGCAAAATATATGCAAGTTCATTCATTCCATTGTTAATGGTTTCCGTAATTCAAATATACCAACTGCATCAGTGCTAACAAATTCCCAAAGTATCTGTTGCGGTGTGCGGCTGGGAAGAGCTTGCAGGCAGCCCCTACGTGCTCTTCATCACATGCTGCCTGCACTTCCCGCACGCTTACATCGTATTTCCGGCGCGCTGCCTGGATTCGAGATTCAGAAAAGGCTCGGGATGGTTGGTCATCGTCAGGATCTGGATCGAATTGAGCTGTTCCCAACATCGTTCCTAGAACACACGTAAGTCGTGTACAAACTGCAGCAAAAGCCTCGTCACTCGTTGTTGGGCAATCAGCCTTAGCTAGAGCCACAGCGCTAATGACACTAGATGCCGCTGACTCGAGCACCCCTGCGAGGCTTCCGCGGTTGTATTCAGCGCGGACACGCAATCGATGCTCTTCGCACAGTATTTGGTGGTAATTGCTGCGTGCATTCGCCATGCGAACTACTTTGTCGGCCACATCTGGCGATGTCATATCAGTAGCAGACAACTCCCGTGCGGACTCCAAGACTGACGGCGAGAGTTGAATCGCAGGAGACGACCGCTCTTCTGTCGAGGTAGGTTCTGTGACGAGGGTGGCGGTCGTAGGTTCGAGTTCATGTGTAGCGATCACTTCATTTGCCTCTTGT